AAAGTTCTTTTTATTATCAATTCTAGTTAGTCAAAGAAAGCTAAATGTTAATCAATCGACCAAATTAATTTCATGTTGGATGAGTTTAAATTTCAAATAACGATTTTACGCCTTTTAAAGATAAAAGTAAATAAAACGATTCTATTAATTTTACTATTTAAAAAATCATTATTTTAACTGAAAAATAGACCCGAAGGTGAGAAAAAATTCAATTTTGATGAAGTTATTTTTAAATTTATTGTGAAATCCTTTTAATGAAATTGAAATACAATTGTTTATTTTATAAAAGTTCTTGGATAATGTACATAGTGTATACGCTTTTTGGAAATCATTCACTTCGCAGGGATAATTAAAATGTACTGAGTTTATGGTAAGTAACTTTAATAATAATTAAACTAAAAATCTTCTTATTTCACAGACGGTATTTTACTCGACGAATATACTACTCAGTTAAAACTATTCAAAACTAGTAAAAGGAATGTGCTAGAGGAATTTGAATTCGACCTTTTTCACACGGTATTGACCACACTTTAGCAGCTACATCCTCCAAAAAAAACGAATATCGGTTACTGTCAGAATTTTTCATGATGTGAATATTGAATTCTCGTGAATCTGGTTCATCATATAAGCATTCTTCTGAGAAAAGTTTCTGACCGATCAAACGAATTTTGTTATTATTTAATTGCACAATGTTTTCAACCGCCACACAATTATTATCTTTCAATAATACGTACGAATCTTTGCTGTAATTGAAGTCAATAACGAAAGAGTCCGTTTTTATTATCTTGTATTGATGCTTTACAATTGTACAGCAAGAAAGTTCGAAATTCCGTTGCTTTCCAGTATTTGTACTCTAACAATGTTCTCGGTTTCCTAGTAAATTCTTTGGGCAAACTTTTACGAAGAGCCAGCAGTCTTTTACTAATCCTAATCATTCGAAATGCACGTAATCGACCTTTTGAAGGACCTTTCAACCACAGACTAATAAGCTTCTTAACAACTCCTAATAGAAGAAGGTGCATATAGTCCAAAGGTACATATGATATACCACCGAATTTAGGAATTTTATTTAAAATAGATTTTTCATCAAAATCATTGTAAACGTTGCGAGCGAATTTTTCGTCAGTTTTCAAAACAAATGGCCCTATACCCGGAAAACACACTCTTCCGGATCGTTTCTCGTTTTTTCGTTTATTTTTATTTAGAACATACTCTCCTTTAATTTCACATTTAGGGCAGCTATAATATCCAGTGTGACCTTTCAAAAACATTACAAAAGATTTCGCGGGAGCATTACAAATTAATCCTTCGAAACTAAATTTAACATTGCTTTCCGGTAAACCATTTTTGATGAGTTCCATTGCTTCTTCCACGAAAAATTTCAGAAATTCATTTGCGTTTGCAGGTTTGCTAGGACCATAAAAAGCACCAATAGGATAAACTTTTTTTCCATTTATGTCGGAACATAATATGAGCCAAAATCCTTTGCCTGTCGATTTGAATATTGGTAGTCCGTCAATATTCACAAGTAATTTTATGTGGTCTATTTTTTCAGATCTACGTTTAAATTCCCTTAGAATGCCTTTAACTGCCCTTTTCAGTCCAAAATGATAGTACTGACCGCCTTCCATTTCAGTGATAGGAGTGTTTCTTGGTGTACCCATCAAAGTTCTGGCATCCAGTGGTAACTCTGCATTCGTGAAACCGTTTAGAATTAAAAGTAACGCTGTCAGCGCAACCAAGTTTATTCGAAATTTAATTGCCCAAAACTGTAATGCACTTTTTAATGTTTTTTTAAAACTTTCAGTTGTAAAACCTATTCCATGGTCGTCAGGATAAATTTCACGATAATTTTCGCTAACGTCATATTCCATAGTATCATCAGAAGATTGGTCGCCTACGTCTGAGAATGAAAAGTCCGTGCCCTCTTTTTGATCATCGGTTATTGATCCTTCCTTACTTTCGTCAGAATAAAAAGAGTTTGTTTCAGAATATGATAATGTCAATCATTTCTGCATCTGTACTTGTTACTGGAACAGTTTCAGCGATTTGCTCAATTTCTCGAGAAGCACTAGCAACATTTTTAATCGTATGTGGTTCTTTATTAGGTGGATCGAAAATTGACTTTATATCTTGATTAATCCGCTTTTCTAATATGCGATGAAACTGTTTTTTCGAATAGCCGCATAACGTTGATTTTTTCTTTATCTTGCCCATTGTCTTCAAAGTAATTTGTGATTTAGTTTCTAGAAAGCGAAAGATAAATAAGTACAAAATAGTTTCAGGAAATTAAAATACCATGAGAATGTCCCTAGAATATCTACATATACCATTGAGACATTTCACTGATATTATAATTTTCGAGAACCAGTGGATATTTTTAGGATATCCTTAAAATAATCTTAATATCTAGATGCCGATAATAATAACTTTAGTTATTTTTACAATATGCTATAAAATGTAAGGAAATTTCTCCATGAGTGGATCACTTTTATTGGTAAATCCTTTTTATTTAGTCTGAAAAAAACGAAAAACAAGAACATATTTTTTATTTCAGGGTTTTATTAAAAATATTTTTCAGACAAATAACATGTCAAAAACATCAATTTATTATTTTTATATGGAAATTAGATAAGTGGTCCACTCCTGAAAAAATTCCTCTATATGCAACAATTGTTGTTAGAAATGTGAAAAAAGTGATTAAATCCTACAAAAATTTACACTTATATTTCTCATGATTTTAAACAATCGTATGGTTTTTTTAATGTAACAATTTAATTTTAATTGTTTTAATTTTAATTTAATTTTGAGGGAGAGCAAGGTAATTCCGACCCACTTAAGCAAAGTGCATTTTTAAGTGTAAAAAAATTAATATGTGAAATATAATTCAAATTTAATATATCATTATTGTTTACTTTTTTAATTACAATTATTTTGATAGTGTATTAGAAAACCATTTAAAACAATCACAAAGTAAAAATATGAATTTGATTGAAAGTAATAAAAAAATATGCAACAAAAAATGGGGGTAGAATAACTCCGACCGCTCATGATTTAAAAAAAATAATATGCAAAAGAATGCTGAAAAGTTTCAACTTAATACGAATTGAGTCTATAAAATAGAAATAAAAAAATAAACAATTGACTGTTTGATGTCAAAATGTTATTATTCATTATTGTTTTAAAAAATAATAACATTTTTTATCTTGTTAAGATAGTGAGGGGTGTTGGAACTACCCCGCTGTCCCTTATAATATATATAATTTTGTAACCTCCAAGGACTTCGAAATTTCATTTTAATTTTAGATAGTTTCAATTTAAAAAATATAGTTTACAAATAAATTTAAAAAACTGTAAAATAATCAAAAATTACTTTCTTAATTTTTTCATAATTCAATATGGTTTCATGTTCTGAAAAAAATAACTAAGCAAGAGGTAGTCACTTTGCACCTGTTTTACTGTTTTATATTTTCAATTGTGAATTTTTAAAACAAAATGTTTTGTAATTTATTTATTATATACAAAAAATTTTTATCAATTAAACCACTAAACATTCTTACTATATTACTCATTTATTATTCTGAAAAAAAAAATCTTTAACTTCAAAATTTTTTACATAGAAAGTTCCTTATTGTAAAAATAATATGAAATTCACAATAGAACGCGAAAATTTATTATTTTTCGATTAAATGATTGATTAAGTTAAATTTAAACAAATTTAAATTATATAATTTGAAAACATTATATTATTTAAATACCCGTTATAATTAGTAAACATTAAAGCCGACTGGATTTTAAACTCACTTCTTTCGTTGCTGGAGCATGACCTATATGTCTTTGAAATAGATGATGTTGAATTGTTGACAGTATCATTATTGTCTAACTTCCGCAAATCTAATTGTGATGACATTGCTCTTAGTTGTGATTTTTAGGTTTCTGAAATTTTAAATTTGTTATTTATCTAAAAATTATAATTATTAAAATTTTTCAAAATGAAATAAAAACTCACTTGCTTCTCATAAATATTTTTATAACATTCTAGGCCTTAAAAGTTTAATTCTCTCAGGCAATGTTTGGTTCTCCGTCAACATTAGTGACAATTTTTAATTTTTTATTAAAGTGGAGTAAAGTAACCTGATATAAGTTTCTAGTTGTTGTTATAAACAGATTGATTTGAAAACCTCAACAATAAAGTGACAGTTAAATTGCTGCAAATATATAAATTCAAATAAATAATGTATTTACAAAATAAAATTGAGTAAAATTACAAATAATAATTGTTCATTTTTTTGTTGATTACATTAATTAAATATATTAAAATTATGATCATAAACATCCCTATTTCACTTCCAAATATAACCTTTAAACATATTACTTTTCTATAATAAAAATATTTAATTTTTAAAATTTTTATTTGCTACAAATTTTTAATTTATTGACTATTTTTTTTAACAAAAGTAGTATTTTATAACATAAAAAAAAGTTTATTTTGACGTTTCTTCTTGACAATAAAAAAATTTAAATATTTGAAAAAACATAAGCATGGGTTGCTTTATTAAACAAATGAAAACTGGAAGAAAAGTCATTTTATTTCTGTCAACGAGATAAAATGTCGACTTTTTTCTTATCCCTTTGCTGAGAATATCGGAATTCAAATAATTTCAGCATTATGGAGAAGTAAGATAATAAAATTTAAACATTAATAATTTATTGTAATTAAAAAATATTAAAATTAAATTTTTTTTATAATAGTTTCTTTTGAAAGGCTCTATTTTAAACCACCAAAATCAAATTTTTGTTACAAACTTATAATTTGCAACCATGATACAAATTTAAGTACATTTATTTATTCAGAAATGTATGTAAATATATTTCTAAATTAAAAAATAGAAGTTGTAGGATAAAAAATTCTAATAAAAGTAATAAATAATATGTGTTTAATCAAAACAATTAATACTAAGTTAATAAAAAAGTAACAAATTTAAAACACTATAAGTTAATGTTGTTTGCAGCGATGATCATTTACCGGCTTTTTCTGTTGTTGAGTTTTGTGAAGGAATAGAAGTAATTAAAACGAATTGGGAAATTTTCAACCAGAAAAATAAAATGATTGCTGCTTATTTTCCTCCATTCCGCTTCGAAAATGAATTTTTAAAAATTATTAAGAATAATGAAAGACCGACCAGTGAGTGGGCAGATAAAAATGGCGAACCTTGGGAAGTTGTAAAAGTTTTACAACAATCAAGTAAGTTTACTGTTACTTTTTCGGAAAATTTCAATAATTTAAATTTTTAGATTGATAAAGAGTTCCAAATTTCAGACACCTACGACAAAGCAAAAAAGCAATGTCACTATTATTCGAATTGTCTGAATTAGACACTGATGACAATGTCAACATGGAGCGATTGAAAAAAACTAGACACGCTCGCAACTTGGAAAAAAAAGCGAGCAGGGAACAGGAGAAGAAAAGTATTGAACAATCGAAATCTGTGCGGAAAATTTTGTTTACTCCATGCAATTCCAAAGCTACGATAAACGTGCAATCGACTGGAGGTGAGGAACAAGATGAATTTAAAAATTTGGATAAGGATCTGGAGCCGGATATCGAAGTGGAAGAGTTCGAGGAACAACTTACACCACTACAACAAAGAGGTTAATTTTTAAAAAATTTTCCATTTTGCATTCGTCAATCTAGTTAAAATATTTTTCATCTATTTAAAAAGAAAATAAGATAACTTAAAAAAATAAAAAGTAGCTTTTCTTCTGAAAAAAACAATAAATCTTCTTTTTCTTCGTCTCTTTTAATTTTTTTTTAATTTCGTTAATTTAAACGTCTTAAAAAATCTATTTTACTTTAAATAGATATAAAAAATAAATATGAAATTATTTCCGGCAAAATTCTAGAAGAGATTTTCAGTTTTTACTTGGAAAACTTTCTGAAAATTTTTGGAAAAATTTAAAATCTCTTGTATAAATTTTCCGGAAATCTGGAAAAGTTTTTCAGTGTATTCCCGGAAAAAATTCACAAATTTATTCCATATAGGAATGTTACAATAAAATTACCATTCTCTTTGCAGCCTCAACTAGCAGAAAAATAACCGCTCTAGTACCTGGAAAGGAAAATAAGGTCCAGGTTATTGAAACCGATTCAATGGATAGTGAAATGGAAATAGATGAGATTGAGAAGCAACCTTCACAATTACAACAAACAGGTTAATTTTTGAAACTCTTTCACTTTTCATTCTGTCCGTGTAGTTATATTCAAATAGTAAAATTGAAAAATTTTTATCATAAGTAAAATAACATTATTATTTAAGTAACGGAAAATAGCTCTTTCTTTAAAAAAAGTAATGCTTTAATTTTTTCTTTGTTTTCTTTATTTTAATTTTATTGATTTTAAAATTGTTAAAAAGCAATTTTCTCTACAAATAATAAAATAACATTTTTTCATTATAAAAAGGTATAATAAAAATCTATAATTAAGAAATGACGTGAAAAATCCAGAAGAGAATTCCAAGATTTTCACGGAATATTTTGTAAAAATTTCCGGTTTTTTTTCAAAAAAACTTTCAGATATTTTACACAAATCCTTCCACGCGGAAATGTCATAATACAATTACTATTTTCTTTATAGCCTCGATTAGCCAAGAAGCTATAACTGCAATACCTGGAAATAGAAGTAAGAATCAGACTGTTGAATCGGATATCGAAAGGGAATTGGAAGAGTTCGAGAAGCAGTCTACACCATTACAACAAAAGGGTTAATTTTTAAAACTTTTTTAATTTTTCATTGTTAATATAGTAGAAACAGTATTCTTTGTTTAATATATAATATAATATAAATAATAATATCATATCGTACATTGCATCAAAACTTATAAAAAAATATAATAAATAATTTTATAAATAATATTGTAATTTAAATAACAAACAATAGCTCTTTTAAGAAAAAAATAATTCTTTTTTTCTTTTTTTTTAAATGTTAATGATTTTAACCTTTTTAAAAATAATAATAAAAAATAATAAAAAAATAACAAAAAATAAAATAAAAAGTTAAAATAAAATTACATTTTCTATATAAACAGCCTCGACTAGCCAAAAGCCATCTGCTGCTACGCATGGAAATAAAATTTCTAACACGCGTAGAAGTTCATCAAAAATATTTGTTGATTCACCGGAAGTTCTGCGGGGTTGTAAGTTCATCGCAATTTTTAAATCAAATTCCATCTTAAATATGCACTAATAACAATAAAAAAAAATTATAATATTAAAAAATATTATTAATATTATTATTATCAATAAATATTTAAAAAATTGGGACTATAGTTTATTAACATTTAATTTTGAATAGTGAGTCCGTACGAGCTATTAATGTTGCAAAAGACGAATGCAATGGGGTTAATGATGGAGTCATTCTGCAAAAGAGATTCTAGTAGTTTTCTCATTGAAGAAACAGTAGCGCAAATTCATGGTGAGGGAAAAGTATTAAAAATGTCTCCAGCTCAAACAGCAGCAGAAGCTATGAAAATTGAGAATAAATTGAAAGATAAAAGATTTTTATCGCAAGTGGTACATATTCTTTTAATAAAACTTTAACTAAAACATCAACAACATTGCAATTTATAGGTCTTTTGTATGTAATTTAAAAACTATCATTTGACTTAATATTTCCATCTTATTCAAATATACACTACAAAACATTTATTTTCATTAGGTGCATGAGGTCAAGAATCTTGGAAAACTTCGGACCCTCCAATTGACAGTATGCAGCGAAATGGATATTCTTCTTACATACTCCGCAGGAAAAGGGTTTTCTTTTAAAGGGAAAGCTAAAGAAAAAAGCGGATTCCAACAACTTTGCTTATACAAAGTTATAAAACGTAAGGGATCATCCGTAAATAAAGTTTCTCCAACTTTTCAAATTATCGACCCCCACCCATTTGCATTTGGTTGCAAATCACAACTCCCCCCTGTAAATGTAACGTTGCAAAAATGATTTATACGTCCTTGAATTTTTTTTCCTTTTTATATATTAATTAAACAAAGTACATGTTCTTTTTTATCATACATTCATAGAGTTGCCCGTGTCAGGGAAATTAATTATTATCTTTGATTTGTATTGGCTAAGGGTCAATAATAAACATAACATCAAGTCAGGGAAATGTCAGAGAAATACAATTTTTGTTAGGGAAATTTTTGAAATTGAATGAAATCAAAAATGGAAAAATAATTAAAATTAAAAAAAATAATTTTATAAAGTAAAATATCATTGAAGTAAATTTGGAAGTGCTTTTTAATCTTTATAACATTTAGGGTTGCCACGACTCAGGTAAATCATGAAAAGTCAGGGAATTTTGTCAAAAGAACTGGAAAACTATAAACATTATAATAATGCAACGAACATTCTGTTTTTATTAAAAAGTTTTTTTTAAAATTTTAATACATATCTTAACTTTTAAACATTTATTTTTTTTTATAATTGAAAATCTCTTCAAAATTTTGCATAATAATTTTTTAATGAGTTATAAATTCTATTATTACAAGTTTTAATCAATTAAAAATTCAATTATTTCAAATTTTAATCAGTTAATAATAAATAGTCTAAATTTTAATTACTTTTAATTTTTCTTGAAAAGAATATTCATTGATAGAAATAACGTAAATTTAATTTATCAAAATTTTAACAATAAAAATTCAAATATTTTTAATTTTTATGAATTTAGAATTCAAGTGTTCCAAATGTAAAAAAATTTCATTTTTTTAAAAAATAATTGAATTTCATTGGAAATTAACTTAAAATTTTTGTCAATTTGAATTGCTGAATATTTCTTTACATATTTCAGACAATAATTAAATTTTAAAGAGAATTGTTAAATTCAAAAAAGTTTTAAAGCATTGTAATTTTTGAAAAGCTAAAGTTTTTTTTATATTAAATAATTTAATTTTAAGATATTTGATCTTGAATTTATTGTAAATTTAATCTGCTGAATACTTTTTACGAATTTTTCACAATAATTGAATTTTAGAGAATTTTTAATTGAAATTTTTTAAAAATAATTGAAGTATGAAAGATTTGTAGTTTATATTTTTAAAAATAATTAAATTTTGAAAGATTTGTTGTTTATATTGTTAAAAATAGTTGAATTTTAGGAGATTTTTAAGTAGAAAGTCAAGGAATTTTATCAAAAGTACTAAAAAAATATTCAATTTTTAAAAAAGCACCGAAAATTACATTTTTTAAAAATTTTAATTCAAATTTTTACTTATCAAAATTGTTGTCTTCTTTTTGTAACGGATGAACTCCCTGTGGGCAAAAAATCATGTTCGTTCTAAAAACGTTTTAAGAACGTTTTTAGAACGTTTCATGTCCACCAAATAATGTTCTGGAACATTATTTGAACATCCATGTTCTTAAAATGTTCCAGAACATTATTTGGCGGACATGAAACGTTCTAAGAACGTCCTTAAAACGTTTTTAGAACGAACATGGTTTTTTGCCAACAGGGCTCTTAAAAAGTTTTTATTTGGGTCAGGGAAAAATTCCAAATTCCGTCTGGAAATCAAAGGAAAAGTCAGAGAAAAACAAAATCCAATTTTGGTGATAATCTTAACATTAAAAAATCAATTCTCGTGATAACCCTGATTTATCATTAATTATCATCTTTCTATAGCGATATCAGTTTCTAAATCTTCAAAGTAATTTGTCAATGACGAAAAATATAAGAATGAGAGAATAGAAATGCGCAACGTTACATTTCCAAATCACCCACCCTGCTCCCCCTTGTTGCAATTAGTTGCAATTTTTTACCCCCTTAATCACGCAACGTTATTGATGGATAGTCCCTAAGTATTATTAATTTATTCTTGAAGTGCTTTATTTTACATTTAAAATATATTTTTCAGTAGAAGCATTTGTAAATATTTTATTTTTAAAATATGTTTCATCGTAAAGTATTTTAGCTGGACAATTAATGATATTTTAATTAATGATATTTTTAATTATATTTTAAAGACTGCACACAAAAAATGTTTCCAAAAGCAACAGTAGCTGAGATAGACAAATCCATTAAAGATTGGCTCATAGCGTGTACAAAACGTGAAAACCGTCGACAGTACGTGCAATAATTTTTTCAACATAATATATATATTATGTTGAAAGCCAATCTACAATATATATATATATATATATTTATTTATATATATATATATAACATGATTCTATATTCACAATCTAAAAATCTTTTTATATACATTTTTTATTTTTTTTATAAATATTTGTTTGTATATTAATTACATTTTTAAAGGTATTTAAAATACATAGCTTAGCTTAAGGAGAGGGACCGGTTAAATTTTAAACTATCAAAATTAATACTGTTCAGTGGTGTCAATTTTTTTTGGTAGAATTTATAATCTAAAAGTATTGTATATTCTTAGAATTCATAAAAAAAATTTTGACATTTTAGAAATTTCATTTTTTGCAAAAATTAATATTTTTCAAAATCCATATGCTTTATTGTTTAAAATCATGACAAAAGCTAGAAAAAATCAATAATGAAAGATAATGAAAATTGCAAGAGAAGTTAAATTTTAATTTCTCCAAAAATTTTTATTTTTATTTTAAAAATTATCAACAAATTAATAATAGTTTAAATTTTTTACAATATATTATAATTTTGAATAGTCAATATTGTTAGAAAACAATTGACGATTCTAAACATCATTGATTTCGCTGGGCTAAAAATTAACCGGTTTCTTCCCTTAGTTATTACTATACTGTGCTTTTTAATTGATAAAAATACAAATCATTTAAAAATAAATTTTATTATGATTATTTACTTAATGGTTTTTATAACAATTTTTAAAGACAATAAAGTTATTTTTTATTGATTAGTGAATTCATAGATTGCTATAATGAATCATAGAAATTGTTTAGTATTAATATTCCCGAACGAAATATGAACTATAAGACCTAATTTTTCAAAATTTATTTTAAAGATGATGCAAGTGAAAATAATGCTAATTAAAATAATTTATACATAAGAAAGAAGGAACAGAAGCGAAAGGAAACTGAATCCGCCATGCAGCTTGAATTAGAAGACGAGGAAAATGATAATGATGGTGGAGTAGAAGATAATCTGGACTCAGATCCCGAAAACCGCGATTAAACATAATTAAATTCAATATTCACTTCATGAAAAATTCTGCAACTATCCGATATTCATTTTCTTTGGAGGATGTAGCTGTTAAAGTGTGGTCAATACCGTGTGAAAAAGTCGAATTCAAATTCCTCTAGCACATTCCTTTTACTAGTTTTGACTAGTTTTAACATTTTTTTACTATACTTGCCGCAGATTGTGGGAGAATTTCGATGTACGCCGCGGTTGTTGCTGCATCTAAAGTTAAAAAGAAATATCAATTTTCTTATTTTCTCTACCATTACATATTTAATGAAAGAGAATGTTGATGAGTGAAATGACTGTTGTGTATTATTGTATTAAATTCCGATTTATAAATTTTGCCAAATACTTACCATAAACTCAGTAACTTTTAATTATCCCTGGGAAGTGAATGATTTCCAAAAAGCGTATACACTATGTACATTATCCAAGAACTTTTATAAAATAAACAATTGTATTTCAATTTCATTAAAAGGATTTCACAATAAATTTAAAAATAACTTCATCAAAATTGAATTTTTTCTCACCTTCGGGTCTATTTTTCAGTTAAAATAAGGATTTTTCAAATAGTAAAATTAATAGAATCGTTTTATTTACTTTTATCTTTAAAAGGCGTAAAATCGTTATTTGAAATTTAAACTCATCCAACATGAAATTAATTTGGTCGATTGATTAACATTTAGCTTTCTTTAACTAAATAGAATTGATAATAAAAAGAACTTTTAAAAATATTTTTTATAAGCCTTTCTAAGACATATTTTACAAGTTTTTGTCAAAAAAATTTCTATTGCATCCTCAACAAATAGGTTTCCAGGGAACAATTTGAGCAAAAATTTCCTACGCAGTTTCTCTGCATGATCCTATTAAGTATTCCGCAGAGAAAATTTCTAAATATTCCTGGGAGAAAACTATTAAATCTTCCCGGAAGAATACTTTGGAATATTTCTCAAATATTCCTATTACTTCTTCCAGTCAAATTCTCAAGGGATATTCCAGGAACCTTCCTTTGGAACATTCAAAGTCAAGTGGACATTTCCTATATTCCCAGGACCTTCCAAGCACCTTCCAGCGGAATATTCCAAATCTTCCAGCGGAACATTCCTGGAAGGTTCCTGGAATATGTTGTGCTATCTGGGAAGGGCTTAAAATTTGTTCATTTTTACGCATTTTTGTGTGTATAGTATAGAAATAATTTAAAAAACATGATAAGAAGTTGTTTGAATTAAGTTTTTTTTCGAAAAAGAAATTTTTTTTGAAAAAAGTGGACTTTTTCCATAAGTTTTTTATTCGTTTCTCTGTTGTATTTATTTTTTTTCCAATTTTTTTCTCTTCTTCACATTCTTCCTTTTTTAAGTCGATATTCTTTTCACATTTTTTTGTAAAGAAAATGTTTATTGTAATTGAAAATAAAATCGGACAAATGCGAGTTACACTCGCACTGAAATCGAGGGTTCCGTGCTCGAAGCGTACTTATTTGGTATAAAAAGAAAGTTAACGTAATTCCGAATCCAACGAACTCTATATGAAGTATTTTGGATAAGTAGATTGTTAATAAACAATTAGTTAACATTGCAATAGTTTATAAAAAAATGATTTTTTATCCTCAAAACTTAAAAATTTAATAGTAATATTGTTTGAAAAAAAATTTCGATTTTTTTTTGAAAAGTACGTTTAAAAACACATATTAAAAAAATTCTAAAATGATTAATTTTTAAGGAAGTTTGAGCAATCCAATTAAAAAGCTAAGGTAAAAGCACCAGTACCTGGACGCTATTGAAGGGGTCTCAAATTTATTAGTGTTGTGTACTAAGATAATTAAATATAATTGATAAAATGTTTGTATTTTCGTTTTGTTTACCTTTAAAAAATACTAATTAGACAAAATTAATAATAATAGATGTTTTAATTAAATTAAATCATGAAATAATGAAATTGCACATTTGCAGCAGAAGTTGGACATGGTATTTCGAAAGCCGTAGTGGTTGGACATGATGAGACCCAGTATTTGGACATTAAATAAGTAATAATAATAATTAATTCAATAATTCTAATTTATTTCGTTATTTTGATTGCAATCTTTGTCCAACTATTGGGTACAACATATAAAGCGGTAGGTTAACTTGGACAGTCAATTCAGACAGAATTGGACAGCGATTTTAGAAAAATTGTTTAATATATTTTTTTTACTCCTACAATTAATAAATTTTATTTTGCCTAAAAGCTAATTATCTAAAGAGTATCTCAAATTTTTTTTACTTAATTTGAGGAATATTTTAATTTCTTTTTGCAACTGTCCATCTACTGGTTCCAATTTTTGCTTTGTCTAGGTACTGGTGCTTTTACCTTATTAAAATTTCTTTATTTTGAAAAATCCATAACTCATAAACGACTTGTTAACAAGGTGTTCATTTCATGACCATTTAGCTTCCTCATAATGATACACTTATGTTCAAGATTAAAAGAAGGATTACAACTAAAATAGCGATCAATTTTATAAATATTGGTAAAATATAAACTTTATATACATCAATCGATTCGTTTTCATGCCAGGAATGTAATTTTGACAAGAATTAATTAAAATTTCTAAAAAAGTTATTTTAAAAAATACAAAAAACTATTTTTTCAAAAAAATGATTAAATCTATAGATTTCTGTAAAATATGAAATTTATATAGGTTAATCGATTCGTTTTAATGCAAGAAATAAGTTTTTTACCAAAGAAAATTAAATTTACAATAAAAAAAATTTGAAAAAAATAAAAGAAAAAATGTTTTGAATATATTTGGAAATCCTTGTGTCAGATTTTAGGTATTAATGACTGCAATAAGCATACACAATTTCAGGACAATCCGTCAAAATGTTTCGGAGATAATTTGTACACAATATTTTGTGACATACACACACACTCCCATACATCTGTACATTTGATCAGAATTGATCAACATACCTTATATGGGCATTCATGTGACTATCTATGTCACTTTTATTAAGTACTTTGTACGAAAGGGTTTATTTGAAACCCGTTTATGTTTGAAATAAATAAATAAACTTCAAATATATTAATTCTAGATAAGAATGAGTAAATATGACCTTCATTTGAAAAATTGAAAATCGTCACGAATGCACAGCTTCCTCATGAGGAAGCAAAAACAATTTGAAAGTATCAAGACAGCCAGGGTTTCAATGAGTACTAAAAGTTTTAAATATACTTTGCACCTGATGGGGTTATTTATTTTCTAATTTCTTATGAAGATTTCGAAAAGGAAGAAATGGTTTTTTTACATGTGTTTTATTCTTTTTACTTGACTTTTCCATATACTGAAAAATAAGTATTATTGATTCAAGAAAATCATTTACTTGTCCGAAGTTGATCCACTAATTTTCCTAATTGCAGAAAATTTACTACAAACTAGTAAAATTTTCTTTTCCAGGTTTGCAGGTTTCCAAAAAGAGTAGCAACCCTGATTTTCATTTTTGAAATTCACAATAAAATTTTCCAATCAGCACGTAATATTACATATAAGATTCGAAATATCAAGGTGTAAAATTATAATAACTTTGAAATGTCCGCCTAAAGGTAAATTTTATTTTGTAAAAATATGGGCAAATCATGAAGAAAAAAATATTTTTTTTAATTTTTGCTACTCTGGAAATTAATATTTCAAAGTTTGACAAAAATTTAGGCAAACAGAAGAAGATAAAAAAAGTTTGGCTCAGGCGTAGACTAATTGTAGACGAAAACATTAATTCTTCTCTCTTTTTGCTACTATGAAAATTAGTTCTTCGAAGTTTAGCAAAAACATGAGCAAACAATGTAAGAACAAGTTGTAAATTCAGATGTTCATTACATGAACATTTTGCTTCCTCTTTACGATCAGCAAAAAAATTTGCTTCCTCGTGGAGAAAGCAAAATTTTATTGCCAAAATGTGAATTTTTGATTTTTTAACTTTCATTAATTCTTTAAATTTACCTCAAATGTATACTTTATATATATCGATCGATTCGCCTTGACGTAAGGAATACAATTATTTCATATATAACCTTCAATTTAAAAAATCACAAAATTTTATAGCCAAAATGTGAATTTTTGAGTTTTTAACTTTCATTAATTCTTTAAATTTACCTCAAATGTATACTTTATATATATATATCGATCGATTCGTCTTGACGTAAGGAATACGATTTTATTATATATAACCTTAAATTTTTCTATTTAAAAATTTTTTCGATTAAAAAAAATTTTTTGGAAAAAAAACGATAAAATTTTTTTTTTGGGTTATTTTTAAAAATCCTTTGGTCAGATTTGAGATATTAATATGATAAATGAGCCTACCAAATTTTATCTAAATCCATTAAAACCTGTTGAAGTTATCTTCTAAACAAAAAAGGGATCCACACACACACACACACACACACACACATACATACATCCGGACAATTGATCAGGATCTCATATAACATGTTTCTATAAAGAAAAAAATTTGTTTCCGCCACTTTGAAAAGTTTTATAAACGAAAGGACTACAAAGCTTCCTCCACGAGGAAGCAAAAAGAATTATTTTTTCTTACTTTTTCAAGATTTTTTATGTGAGCATGAGGTTTTTGTGAGATACATTGTCACGAAAGTGAGACAAAATGATCGAGTCAAATCGAACCAAAGGCGAGCTAACTCGAACCGAAAACACAAGGACAGCGAGTATTGAAAACCTATGTGAATCTATACAAATTGTTAGCGTGCTAGCCGCATATGCTATTTTTTCTGCCTTTGTTATGAAAAAATGACTAAAAATAGTAACGCGTTATGGTTACTTTTACTAAAAAGTAACGTATTATCGTTACTTATACTTTTTATTAAAAGTAACATGTTTTCGTTGCCATTGTCTTTCATCAGTAAACGTCACCGAACTTGAACTACCTAAAACAACATTTCTCACATGCACAAGAAAACTGCCTTAAAATATATAATATAATGTCTGTACATTAACGGAAAATATAGCTAGTAAAATGTTACTTTTTCGTGTCAGTGTCTAAAAATTATTTCTTTCAATATTCTCAAAAACATAGACAAAAAACTCAATTTTTCTGTATTGAAAAAATTAATTTTTTTAAGGTTTGGGATATAGTTCCGAAAGCTTTCCCCCGCCGACTTGAACCAAAGTTGGTATACTAATATAT